AGAACAGAGAATAATACCAGAAATACCAGAGCCAAGAGGACAGCATTCTTGAATATTTATGTGCCTAATAACATAACTTCAAAATGTACCATGTATCCTAAGAAGCCATCCTACTTTCAGCCTCCTAGAAGCTAGCCAACTTTTCCTGAGATAGTTGGTGTCTCCAGAACCCCAAAAGTCAATGGGACAGCACCCAAACACTAATGAATGCTTTGTCTGGATCCATGGATACAGCCTGATCTCCACAAGGCTCTTGGAAACTGATGGATAACCTACCTCTGTGTGACAGCCACATCTTACCTTCATGGCGCACCACAGGAGCCCTACCCTGAAATGGTCTGTAGCTGACAGTCAATCCCATACCCTCAGCACGGCATGCTACACCCAGAGCTATGGAAAACCATTCCATTCCACCTAAGAGAGGCACACCCCAGCTAGCTGAGCAATGCTCAAAGGTATGAGAAAAAACAAAAGAACTTTCATATACACACAAAAGGTGGAGGCAGTCATCACTAATAGACCCACATTACAAAAAATGGTAAAGGAATTACTTTAGACAGAAAGGAGACCAGAAGGATATCTGGATCTGTACAAAGCAATGGAGGACAGTGAAAATGTTGACATAGTAGTAGCTAAATGCCAAAGATTTTTTTAATCTATTTCTTTTAAAAACCATTCACTTTGTTAAAAATAAAATAGTATGGGGCTTATAAAATATAAATTGTATGACAATAACAGCACAAAGATTGATAGAAGAGCAATGTAAATATATTGTACATGATAGTGGTATAATATCACCTTAAGATAGTCTTTGAAAAATCTTAAATGTATACATACTGTAAACCTTAAAATTGTGTATCGCAGATTCAGACATGGATTCCATGAAGGAACGACACCAAAACCCAAGAGGGCAGCTGTTGCAGCATCCAGTTCATCTTGAGGATTTTGGCAATCAGTCATAAAATAAATTTTTTGGTTTCAAAAACTATAAAAAACAAAACAAAAAAACCTGTATTGTCAGATTCGTAGAGTTAGACCTAATAAACCTACGGAAGAGATAAAATGAAATCAATACAAATCATTTCAAAATAAAGCAAAAAGAAAAGAGGGAAAAAAAGACCAGATGGGACAACTATAAAACAAATGACAGGCTTCATTTTAACCATATCATCAATTACATTAAATGTAAATGGTCTAAATGAGCCCAAAACGAGTACATAAGACAGATAAAGACTGGCTAAAAAAGTCTCAGTTACATGTTGATAACACAAATGTCTTTAGTTATAAATACATAGTAAGTAAAAATTAAAGAATAGAAAAAGATATACCACGTTCACACTCATCAAAAGAATGCTGAAGTAGCTTTATTGATTTCAGACAAAGGTTACTTCAGAGCAGAGAATAATACTAGAATTAACAAAGCCAAGAAGACTTAACATTCTAAAGTATTTATGTGCCTAATAACAGAACTTCCAAATGCATGAAGCAAAGCAACAGAGCTGCAAAGATAAACAAGTAAGCAAACAATTGTATTGCAGTGTTTCTCTCTTAATAACTGATGGAAATAAGACATAAAATCATTTATTATATAGAATATTTTAAGACTACTATTCACTAGTTTAAAAAAAAGACTACTATTGACCAGTTTTTTCAAATTGACAATAAAACATCTATTCAACAACAGTAGAATACATTTTATTCTTAAGCATTCATAGAACTTTTACCAAGGAAAACCTATTCTGGAATATAAAACAAGTCTCAGTAAGTTTAAAAGGATTCAAATCATCTAAGATATGATGTCTTAGAACCAAAGATATTATCAGAAATCGCATTGCAGATCTAAATCCCTCATAAACATTGCTAGAAAAATTCCAACAAAAATTCTAGCGCCCAAGCATGGTATTGCACACCTGTAATCCTAGCACTCAGGAGATAAAGTCAGGAGAATCATAAATTCAAAACCAACTTGGGTAATACACAGTGAGTCCCAGGACAGTCATGGCTGCATAATAAGATCCTGTCTCAAACAAACTTTAACAAACTAAGTCAATATTTTTTAAAAAGAATCATATAGCACAATTGAATAGGGTTTGTTATGGAAATGCAAAGTTGACATAACATAAAAGCAATCAATGTATTTTATCATATTAACATATGGAAATAAAAAAAATTCTCATAAATTCAGAAAAGAAATCTGAAATTCAGCATCCATCCCTCATAAAAATTCTTCAAAAATTAGGAATAGTAGGGAATTTAATTTGATGAAGGTTATTTTTTAAAATAGCTAACTTTATACTTATTGGTGACAAAATCTTTCTCATCAGAAATTTCTCCTTCCACTTCAACTCGAAATTGTACTGGAGGGTTGAGCCAGTGTACAGATATTTAGAGAAAAAAGAATCCATATTGGAAAGGAAAAATTGGGACTCTTTTATTATGATCATTTATGTAGAAAATGCACTAACAGCTATTGCCCTAATATATATTTAGCAAGTTTGGTCACTATATGTGAATGAATATGTAAAGTCCAGATCTATCTTGTATTAGTTACTTTTTTTTTCTGCTGTTACCAAATACCTGTCAAAAACAACTAAAATAAAGAATGGTTTATTTCAGCTTGTGATTTCAGAGGACTCAGTCCACAGTTACTGGGTTCCATGTTTCTGGGCTGTTGTGAGGCAGAACATCATGGTAGCAGGAGTGTGTGACAGAGAAACTTCTTCAGGTGGGAAGGAAGCAGTGCAAAGCTGGTCATTGTCCGGCTTTCTCCTTTGCCTCTTTAGTTCTGAATGGGCACCCAGCCTGCAGGACGGTGCTGCCGGGGTTCTTACCTGCAGGACGGTGCTGCCGTGGTTCTTACCCCTCAGTTAATTCTCCCTGACAATGCCTTCACAGCCACAGCCACAGGTGTTCATCACCAATCTCCCAGCCAAGTCCAAATGAGTCACGTTGACAGTGAGGATTACCCATCAGATATCTCTATATAGCAGCAGCACACAAACAGAAATGGAAATATAATTTACAATAGTTAAAATATAGGAAATATTTGGAGCTAAATCTGACAAAAGGTGTTTAAGACCCATATACTTAAAACTGCAAACCGTTTCTGAGAGAAAGAAGAAATAAAACAATGTGCTCAGAGTTTTGAAGAGTTGATATTCTCAATATATCAGTTTCCCAAATTGATCTGTAGATTTAGCAAGATTACAGAAAAGTTTAGCAGAAATTACTATGAAAATTAAAACACAAAATTCATATGAAAATGAAAAAGACCCATACTAGTCAGAACAACTTTGACAGCAGTTGTAAGATCAACTAACTGGTGTTTTGCATGATATCACAAGCACTCTAGGTTCATATGTGCAACTGCCCTGTGGTGTCCAGATGTCATGGTTTCCTTGTATTCATCTACCACCTCTGGCTTTTTCTGTCTTTCTACCTCTTCTTCCACAATGATCCCTGAACCTGGGAAGGAGATAGTGTTTCATTTAGGGCTGAGCAGTCTGCAGACTTTTAATTCTCTGCACACTGTCCAGTTGTGGGTCACCATGTTAATCACTGTCTGTTGCAAGAAAAAGCTTCTCTGGTGAGTGTTGAAAGATTCACTAATCTATGAGTATAAATCACAATAAGTCACCAGGAGTCAGTTTAATACTATGTCTATTTAGCAGAATAATAGTAGTAAGTTGTCCCCTATGGCCTGTGGGGAGGTGGGCAAGAAGCCCCAGCCCTAGCAGAGGATCTATTAGCAATTGATAGCTGCTGGGAGAGGGAGAGTCGGTTTTCTTTAAGGGTGTGACACCTAGTAGGTTAACTCCAAGGGATAGACCTGCACCCGAGAACTTTCAGGGAAAACAAATTTGACTCCACAGATCTTTAAAAAGAAAAAGAATTTAAAAAAATCTCTGGGAACTCATTTTCTCCACATATCCTATTTAATCCAGTTTCAGTCTTTAAATGTGGATATTCCATAAGTCAATGTTAAATGAATATTCTTTTGTCTAACATAAAATAAGAAAAAGATTAATAGAGAACATAAATTTTGGGGGAGATGATAATGGGAGAGAGCCTGAATATGTTTAAAATATGTTGTATGAAATTCTCAAAAAATTGATAAAAATATTTTTTTAAATGAATGGGTTCCAAGATATATTCTAAAACTCTTGTATTTAGATAATATAGTACTAGGTGGTACTGGAGAGATGGTTAAGAGATGGTGCCTCAATGGTTAAGAGCATATATTGCTCTTGCAGAGGACCTGAGCTCTATTCCAAGTATTGATGCAAATATGTAAAAATGTGGTCCATTCATGGAACCATATTCAGCACCAAGAAGATGTAAACCATCAAAACATGCAAGAATATAGATGTGTTTTTTATAATGCTGAAAGAAGTAGAAGAAGCGAACCATTTCTCCAATAAAGCATACATAAAATCCCAGGAAACACAAGCCAGTCTAACAAACAGCAGATGAGGTTTGCCTGTTGTCGGTAGGACTGCAGCAGTGGGAACTAGGGGCACAAAGAAACACAGACACTTGGGAGAGTAATGTATATGTTCATTATTTTAATTAAGGTAATATTTTTATAGGTGTATGCTTAAGTCAAAACTCTTAAAAGGCATATTTTAACTATACGCAGTTATATGCCAATTATTCTTCAACAGCTGATTTTAAAAAAACAATGCAGCTTTCAAGTTACACAGAAAAAAATGGATTAATGGCATCATACTAACATCTGGAGAGAATTAGGAGGTGCCTGTACTATGCTAAGCATCTGTCAGCCTACCATGTATCTCCCCGCTACTTATAAAAATTTTATGAAGTGAATGCTGATTTGTTTCCTTTTTATAGATGATGACCCTGAAGTTCTACCACTTTTGAGGTGCCTCCCAGCAAGGAGGCAGGAGAACCAAGGTCTAAACACCAGCAACTTCCTCCCAAGCTTGGTTCTGAGCCACCATGAGTGGATTGATTCTGTGTCTTACCATTGTCATTTGCAGGAGAAAGACACGGAACAATCTGCATCCAAGGAAACTGTGTCAGTGATCCTCAGTGGACTCTCTGGTGAAGGGCAGGTAGGGTTTGAACAGGGTCTTTGTTCCTGCTTGCTGGAGATCTTCCCTTCTTCCCCTAAGTCTTTGTGTGCCCCTTCCTCCTCCAACCCTTGGGCAGCTCTCTCCTAGTGCACAGCCACAAGTGTCTTTAGGTTAGCTCCTGTATTTGTTGCAAAATTTTTGGTAAACATAGTCTTTTTTCTTCTCCCTGTAGCCCCCAAAAAAGTTTGGAGAGGAAAAACACTTTTTAAAACAGTTCTCTCTCTCATACACACACACATACACACACACACACACACACACACACACACAATATATGCACATATATGTCATATGCACACACATGCCCAGATATGTGCTTATATGTATATATAATCATGTGCATTTTAGGTTCCTGTAACAGCCCCTCCAGTTACAGGTTCAAACCAAGGTACAGTAGCATCTTCCTCTCACAGCCACCCCTAGGGCCTGTCTTTTATTACTTTCCTTTAACCAACCCACACTTTAGCACATGTCCTCTGTCAGACTAACTCTGTTCACACTATGTGTTATCTGTTTACTGCTGGTAAGCTGAGAAGTTGGGATACCAACATTCTGTGGACCTACTCAGGATTTTGTCCTTTTCCTGAGGAGCAGAAGAGGGCATTATGATTTCTTCTTTAAAAAATATTTTATTTATCCAGGTGTGGTGACACATGCCTTTAATCCTAGTACTTGGGAGGCAGAGGCAGGTAAATATCTGTGAGAAGGAGGCCAGCCTGGTCTACATAGCAAGTCCCAGGCCAGATTGGGCTATAGGGAGACCCTGTTTCAAAAAGAATTATTATTTTATGCATATGGTTTTGTCTACATGTATGTAAGTGTATCAAATGTGTGCAGTGCCTGCAGAAGTCGGAAGAGGGTGTCAGACTGCCTGGAGCTGGAGTTATGGATAGTTGTTAGCCTCCATGTGGGTGCTGGGAACCAAACCTGGGTCAGTGCTCTTAACCACTGAGCCATCTCTTCAGCCTTCAATATTGTAGTATGATGTTCCATTTCATTCCCCAGTGGTAACACAAGGCCAAATCTTTCAGATTCCTGAGAGCCCCTTGCAACAGGCTGATGGATTATGTAGTCTGTAGGAGCCTGTGTATCCTCAAGATCAGTGCAGACTGGGGGCAGTATGTGCTGCCAGAGAGCTGGCACTGTGGAGGTACACGTTCACTTTTGCATTTGCTGCTGGATTGCCTTTTTCAGCCCTTTGTTGCTTGGTGCCCTTCAGTACCCCAGGGAAGAGGGCTGGAGGTGCTTGATACTTTGACAGTGCTGTGCATGCCAGAGTTCCAACTCTAGGGAGCACCCAGAAGCAGTGATGGAAAGTAGTTGGGGAGTCTTTGCCTCTGAGGTAGACAGTACTCAGGGTAGAGTTCATGGTGGAACTTATTCTTTAATGAGCCCCTGTGTTGGGACTGGAGAGATGGCTCAGCAGTTAAGAACACTGATTGTTCTTGCAGAGGATCCAGGTTCAAATCCCAGCACCCACATGGCAGCTAACAACTGTCCGTAACTCCAGTTCCAGGGGATCTGACAGTCTCTTCTGACCTCCACGGGCATTACAACAAATAAAATATTTAAAAGGCCTGTGTTGGTGGCCTTCCATTCCTGGATCACTGCCCCACGTCCCAGAAGTTTTCAGCAGTTGCTGAGACCCTTTGCTCAGGTTTGCTTCTGAGGAACCCATATCAGATGACTCACTAACTGCAGTGCCCTGGGCAGGAGGGAAGGGGGGAGGATACAATGGAAGGTAGCAGTTTTCTCTATGATATTCCTCAGAGACAGGATACTCTTTTATGAACCCAAGCAAGGAGGGGATGGAAAGAGAGGGCCAGAACACACTGAACCTCCAGAGGACATCTGGGTAAGCAAGGAAGATCGATCGCCCATGTTTATCTCCTGACCCTTCCAGAAAAGAAAACACTGAAAAGACAGTAAAGAAGTAAAAAGGGCACAGATCCACAAAGACAACAGGATGAAAGGGGGTTATTGGAAGATAAGTACTTTAAAAATATTTAGTATCAAGAAAATCGATGAAGGAGTTTACACTGGCTTAGCAGAGCTGAGGAAGGGGAAACTCTAATCTCTTTGAGAGGAGACTTACTAAAAATATGATGAACTCCCTATGAGGACTTGAGGGGTTTGGTTTTGCTGAAGGCAGAGTGAGTAGTGAGGCTGAGCACAGGGAGTTTATCTGGGAGCCTGCTAAGGAGTAGACTGAACCCCAGATTATCTGTGCAAATTCTCTCCTGATCAGCCACAACCTGGAGAAATGACCAGGTAGTATTCTCTGGAGAAATCAAGTAGATTTCACCATATAGGACTGTGACAGTGAAAGGCAGATACTAGGGGAGTTAAGTGGAGCTCTGGCCCCTCCTCCAAGCCATATTCTGAGTGGTAGAAGCACATTTGTTGGTGTTTTCTGTTGCTGCTGTAGCAGATGCCTACAGTGTGGTGGCTTAAAACATGTCTGTCATCTTACAGTTCCGGAGGTCAGAAGTCCCGTGTGTAGGTGGAGATATGTTTCTTCTCGGGGATCTAGAGGAGAGTCTGTCCCTGTGCTCTGCCGGCTTCTAGAAGGCACAGGCATTCCTTGCCCTAGGACCTTTTCCTACCTCTCCAGGGCCACAGCAATTGTGCCTACTTCCCTCTCTCTGAGCTTCTTCCTTCCCTTCTCACCTCACTGGGTCCATTTGGATAATCCAGGAGAGTCTCCTCTTCTCAAAATCCTTCATTTAATGGCACCTGCAGAGTCCCTTAGCCTTTTAGACACAGGTTCTGGGGATTTGGACACACACATCTTAGGGGCCACCATTCTCCTGCTACAGTCTCCTCTGTAGAATGGGATTATAGGCTGTTGGAGCTCTGAGTCCAGATTGGAGGAGGAAGAAAGAAACAATGAAGATCACAGATTATTTGAAATACTTGATTGCTTGGAAAATAACATTTGACCAACACTTGGCAAATCTGAAAAATGTGAAAAAGTTAGGAAGCCAAGGCAATAAAAACAAAGCTTACGGATGAGAATGGATTGTAATTACACTGCTTTATCCAAAGACAGCATGAAAGTACATACTCATAATAATGTCAGTACTGATTTAGCTAGAAGTGTGATAGAGGGCAGAGGTTGTGGAGGAGGGTTAAATCCAAACATCACATCAATGTCCAATAGAAAATTTCAAAAACTTAAGAATTGAGAAATGGCAATATAAACGCAGTATTCAGAAATACTCCAAGAAATGAAAAAGTTGAAAGTGATACATAATGGAGAAGGGACTAGAGAGACAGAGGAGAGATTTTCCTGACAAAGTTCTACTGCTAATATCTTTGCCTATGTGCATATGTGATTTTGATTAATAAGACTCTCAGAAGGAACTCAAAATGAATCATGTTCCCCCTAAGTTGCAATACCTTTGGGTACCCCCCAAATCAGAGCAGATGTAATTGGTGCTAACTTTCCTGGTGGCTGAAGTCAAGTGGACCTTTCTGGGCTCAGTCTCACTCCCAACATCATCTGAATAGTCCAAAAGCCCTGAAATTCTTATACCACAAAATCACAGTGAAACCAGTTTTTAAGACAGAACTATTTGGCTTATGGTGTTAATATGTATAATTAACTACTACATGCTAAACTTTACCCAATAGAGTAGTTAAAACAAAGTTCCTCTGTCAGAAGCCAGCTAAAAGCCATTTGTTTTCTGATGTTTGTGTGAGAAATCGTTTTTATCACTTTGTGAACTTTGAGTCTCATTAAGAACATCTTTCCCATGAACATTCTCAGGATGGGCTGTTTCAGGTGAGACAGCCATGCCTGTCCTGTGAACAGTGGCATGTACAGTAGTGCAGACCACTGTGCCATTAAAGTGCAGAGGGTCCCCACTGTTGCTCTTCTTTCCTGGCTGTAGGACATAGAAGAACGTTCCAGCATGCTTTCCAGTCCTGATGAGGAGGAACTCAGCCCTGGGTGCTCAACAGCAGCAGCATCCTTCCTATTCCCGGAGGAATCCACTCACTTCCACCCCATCTACATGGGAGAGTCAGAAGCATTTTGTATTCAGATATTTTTCATTGATGAGAAATACGAGACGAGGCAAGTACTGATCTCTAGGTTGTCTGTTGTGGTAAGAAGTTCTTAGGGCCTTGGTGACCCATCATTTTAGGCATTCAGAACACATGGTTTTAAAATCAGGTTTCATATCCTAATCTGGGGAATTTGTCAAAGCAAATTCCTGAGCACCATCCAGAGATTCTAGTCCATAATATTTGGTTAGGCCTACAAAGGTGGGAAAAAAGTTTGGCCAGTTCTGGCTTACCTACATCACAATTGGAGATCTGGAAAATTACCACTATATAGCCACATGCTGTTCCCCTTCTAAAAACCTTTCATTTCTCTGGATCTTTGGATTTCTGTTGCTTTTGTATAGAAGTAACAGAAATCCAGTTCAAACAGGGCTTATGCAACTAAGGATAAGTTCAGTGGTAGAACTCATTTTACATAGGGCTAGACCCCAAACTCAGCTGAATTGGAGACGAACTTTCTTTCTCTACCTCTTTGTCCTGGTTCCCTGCTGTTGACCCCAGTCTTGGAAGGGTATACTCATCCTTGGGCCAAGATAGTAGACAGGTCTATGTACAAGTTCAATGGGGAGAACATTTTGGTTTGGGCTCAGCTTTCCAGCCAAAGTTCCAAGAGGCCTGATAGACTCTGTGCTCATTCCTGAGCCATTGCCTGTTATTACATCATGCTTCAACATGTGCTCAGCCTGTTGCCTCATGCTTCACCCCTAATCTGGGGGTAGAGATGCACCCTAGTGTAATATGTGAAAAGGGGGATAAATGGAACACCCAACAATTCATGAAAGCTACTGGAAGAAGGAGGCAAGATGCTAGGCAGACAAAGCCTAGGTCCACTTCCTGTCCTTCCAGAGCACCCTTGTGTTCAGTGTTTCTGTTCCTGATCTGCTTATGGACCACTGCCTGATGCCTAAATTCAACATCTTCTTTAGCACACCACCTTATAACACCGTTTATCCACAGAATGATTTAAAGAGGAAAATATGGGCCCGTTTTAATAGAGCAGAAGGTTGCAGAATACCTTTGAGGTGACCAAAGACAGTGCTGGCCATTTCCTTTTTGAAAAATATATTTAAACATATCTCCACCATTTAGCCTCTAAAAATGATGGTTCCTTTTCCTTAATCTTAAATTTTCAGCTTCTGTGGAGATCTTGAAGCTTAGAAAAGGAAATTTTTCTATTTTAATTATAATGCAGACATCTAAATAGCCTATAATGCCCTTATATATTTGTGTTTCCCCCCTCTGGTGCTTTTAGATATGATTTTGCCTAAGCAAAATTCTTTTGGATTTAGTTTGATGACTCCTTATATTTTCCCAGTAAATATTTAAGTGTTACTAGTTAGAAAATATTTTGCAAATAAAACAGAAAAACATCAAAATAGTCTATGACACAGTCAAATCTCTCCTTAACTCTTCCAAAAAGAAAGGGAAAGACGATGTCTACAGGAAGGCCATCTTCTGTATTGGCTTTCAATTTTGCAAATACTATTGTTACCATGATAGTGTCTTCAGCTTCACAAAATACTTTATTGCTGGTATGTGATACTTATGACATATACAGATGATGCACCCTTACCTATGTAAGTGACTAGACACGAATTCTGACTATTAGTTAGCTAACTGCTGTTGAGTACGGGGAGGGAGAACCATGAAATGTCCTATGATGCTGCATTTATTTGCAGTCTAGTGACATTGAATATTACCTTGTTTTCAGGTCGCTGGATTTTATGAATTTTGTTTTCCGTCTTTTTCCTGTAAGTATATGCTGAATTTTGAGTAATATAATTGGTTTTGTAGTTACATTATTTTTAAAAAATTTTATTTATTGTACAGACATTTAAAAACTGTGAATGTTATTGAATTGCTCCCCTCTTCTGAGGTCAAATGGCACATCATGCACTCGTATAGAAAATATTCTCATTTTCAATCATTTGTCATGTTATTTTGACAGGTTTCTTCCAATGCATGCTTTCTTTTAGAGATAGCTTTCTAGTGTTTTATTAGGGTCAAATCATTCATAGTAGTATGTGAAAATGCCAGAAATTATTCTGAGAATATTAGACTGCTGTATTCCTTTATAGTTTACATTGACTCAAAGTATCCTAGAATCAATATATTACTTTGTGACAGCTAGTAGGAAACTGGAAAACTGGTTGATTTCCAGGTTGGCATCTCTTTCCCTACTCATTTCTAGGATCTAACATGGTACTTGACACATAGAAGGAGCTCAGCTCACATTGGACCTCAGGACTGAGAGCAAAGTATAAACAGGCTACTCCATTTTAGGGTTTCTGAGCCTCCCCATTCTTGTCTGGGAATGGGAATCCTACGTGACTTCTTATCAATATTATTGAAGGAAAGAAAGTGGAGAAAGAAGACAATTGAGAGAGAAAAAAATAGGTTGTTAGGAGACCTTTCCCATCCTTGTACATAACAGTCAGGTCTACTGCTATACTTTTTCAGTGGGCAAATTTCAAGCAGACGACCTATTGCTTTATTTGTCTTTGCTGCTCGTTATACTGAGGCAAAATAAATATGGTTTAACGATAGGATCTTGGGTTTTACTCCCTCATTTTTCTGATCTAATGAAGCCTTGGAGTAAGGCAATATATTCTCCACTGTAATTTCTTTAAGTTGATTTTTAAGACATTTTCAAAGTTTATAAAGCAATGGTGGATTAACTCAAACAAAGAATTTACAAAGCCACTTTCCCTCAAACATGCCTCAAAGAAATTTCACTGAGTTTCATTCCTATTTTAAAGTGCACATAAAAGCAAACCTTCAATGTTATAGAAGTAGTGCTGGGTTTAGATAGGCAGAAGAGCAGTCTACATGTTGATTCTATTTGACTTGGGGATCTAAGGATACGGGAACAAAATACCTTCATTACTTCACCCCTAATCCCTCAAATCCAAGCTGAAGCAACTCATTGTAGCTAGTACCCCCTCTCTGAGGAAGCCTGCCGAGACTTGGCACCCAGTCTTTATTTTCAGCTTGAGTAGTTCAGCAGTGTGATTCTAAAGTTTCCCTAAAGGAGCTGTGTTATTTTGCTAGAAAGAAGGAAGATAAGGTCAAATAATGATTTGCTCCTTGGGGCTGCACAAATGTCCTGAGGGTTTTGGATTAGCACAAGTAATGCCTTCACAGGGTTCAAGGGGAGGCAAAGTCCCAAAGGGACAAATTAGCTCTGGGAAGAGCAGGCTGTGTCTGTGGGGATCTGGCACAGGATCAAGTGGCTCTGAGGATCATACAGCATCACAGTCCTTAGACACTGGAGTGATTCTGAATGTTCCAGTAGCCATGTGAACAAAAGTAAAAAGGAACAAATGAAACTCATGTTAATAACATAGTTTATCTAGTTCAATATGTCCTGGGGTCAATCATTTCAAACGCAATCAATATCAAAGTTAATAATGAGGTGTTTTATATTCATTTTCTCATGCTAAGCCTTTGAAATGCACATATCTCAAGGTAAGTACTGAATTTTCACCGGCAGTTCTTGTTCTGAATTTAGATCTTAGGAAATCTGCACTTGGATAAGAAGATTCATATATTAAAGTGGAATGGGTGGACTTATATGCCCCAAGCATACCCAAGACTTGTCCAATAAGTGGAATTGGGTGCCAGTTTTTAAATTTCAAATTTAAATGGTATTCAAATAAATTTTTAGTTTCTCAGTCATACCAGCCACATCCAAATGCTCATTGACCACATGTAACCACTGGCTGTCCCCTGAGACAACAAAGGTTCTAGAAGGTAGGCGGCATCTATCAGAACTTGCAGATCTTCCCATGTCTGCTGGAGTTCAGACTTGCCTTTGGGTCATCACCTAGTAGGATAAAGTCATGACTGAGGACTCACACATCCATTCATGTAGAACCACAGGTCTGTAGAGCCAGAGGGCCTGGAGTTAGCCCTCATTGCACAGAGGGGGGCCAAAGCAGGTATAATCTCACTTCCTAAGTGCAAGACCCTTGCTGTGATACCACACCATCTCATTTATTCATTGATTTCATTGGTGATATTGAATTCACAAGTATAAATGGTCTTAGTTAAAAAATCTAGGCCAGGTCTGGTGGTTATAGGCATGTAATCCCAACAAGGCTTACCCTGAGGTAAGAGGACTGACTGCACATTCAACACCTGTGTGGACTATAAAGTTTAAGGCCACCCAGGGCAATTTAATGAGACCCTTTCTCAAAAATTAAAAAAAAAAGGCTGGTGAGATTGCTCAGTGGTAGAGCTTTTGCTTAGCATATAAGGCCCTTGGTATAATTAATAATTAATTAAATAAGCAAACAAAGAAGCAAGTAAATAAAGTCTACTTCTAGGAGTCAGATGTGGTAGCACACACCTGTGAACTTGTAATCCTAGAACTTGGGAGGCTGAGGCAGGAGGGTTATAAGTTAGAAGCTAGGCGGGCTATGTAGTGAAGCCCTGTACTGAAACAACACTAATAAATGAATCAATTTCTGTAAAAGAGCTCTTCTAAATGGGCGTCACTTTGTGTAATATGCATTTGTTCAGCTTTCAGTCAGACTCATGGATATCTTCTCCATGTTTTCCTAGTTGCTTAGCTCGCTGAGTTTTATGAATGACTTTTCAAACCACAGGAAAGTGTAATTTGAGTATTTTGTCCTAAATATATTCACTTTGCTTCTATTTTCCTTAGTGCTTTATAGCAAGAATTTGTTTAATGACAAATGGTTTCTTATGCTCTCCACATGTCCTTTTTGAAAATCATTTTAGGATAAGAAGTTTTGCTTGATTTCTGTGCCTCCTCTCACCCCTGAGTTTGTCCTCATCCAGAACTTTGTGAAGATCGTCCCATTCAGCAACTGCACCCTGGAGCATGATCTCTATGTGTTCCATCAGGCTGGATTGCTCAGGTAAGTGAGCGTGTATGGTGTGACTTCCTGGGGAGATGTGAATAAATGTTTATTCACCCACAAATGATTCCACACAAGTCTCTAGGTTAGTGGCAATGAATATACATGGGTTACTTAGAGGAACATGGTTAGAGGTTACTTACAGAGAGGGATGGCTGACTCAAAGGCAGCTACATCACTGAAAAGCCTACCCCAGCATGGGTAATGATAGCTCACAAAAGCTGTATTCCTTAAGCTCGTTGTCAAACCTGTAGGCAGCTCTACCAAGAGCACCCTCTCCCCAGCAATTGTTTATTGCATATTTAACCTTGGGAAGGAGCCTTGTGCATCTTCTACCTTTCTGAACTTTCTGGAGTTTCCTGAGCCTGGCAAGTTTCCGTAGCTTCCTGAGGCTTATAAGTCTCCCTCTTTTCTCCAGGGGAAAGTTATATCACCTTGTAGAGGGTAATATTAATGTCTGTTTTCTTCCATTTATGGCTGAGTCTTAGACCACTATGCCACAGCAATAGTCACTTATTCTCAGCTGTTAAGAGTCTGTAGTGTTAACTATCACCCATTGAAAAAGAAGTTTCTCTCCAACAATGTTCTTTGGGTATACCCACAGATGTTTAAAAGGCAGTTTGACAGGTACACCTCATCCTTTTAGCACAATAGCATTGCTTTCCCAATGGGGCCTATATCTCTGCAGCCATGGGATTTTGCCCTGGCTTACAGTACCAGACATGAGTTCCTCTTATAGAGTGGGTCTTAAATCCTGTCATAAGGAATTGTTTGTCTCCATTATAGTTGTGCCACTATTGTACCAGCAGACACAGTGGCATGTTGGTAGTGTAGCATGCAGGGTTCATCAAGGCATAAGATTGTTGGTGACACTTCTCCCCCATTACTCTATATAGCACCTTCTAGCACTATGGAAAAGCTAGCAGAGAAGGAGCGTCAACTGATTTCTTCGTGTCCTGAAGCCAAAATACGTGATGTCTTCAGTAATAGAATCTTACAATATAGTTCTGGTATGCAACCAACAGCAGTGATGACAGCAGTGATAATACCTTTTATGGTTTATAGGTCCTCAGAGGCCTCTCTAGCAAAACAATTCATAGGGAGGCAGCCCACAAGTGGCACTAGGACTTTCATTGAACAGTGTAGCTTCTGGGAGTGCCTTTCTCTACCCACTCATGATGTCTTTGTTCAACTTCTTCAACTGCTGTTTTTACTTTTCTTCTATATGCTTTTCCAAAAATGTGCACACAAGGGTTAGCGTTATATAATGATTTTTTTTTTTTTTTACAGAGGACAGGAAGGATTTCTAAATGCCCATCACCATCTGTCCCAACCAAGTGCCAGGTGGTCTTAGGTGACTAAGGGTATATTGAAAAAAAATATTAAGGTCCTATATATCACAAAAGAGTTATGTTGGGTACAGTGGCATGGATGGGGAATGGGACATTATTCCTCTAAGCCTGTATAATCCAGTCATTCTCCATTATCAACCCTACCTCCTCATCCTAGGACACTACTATTGTTCTATCATGCACCCTCCCTTCCCTGATGGGGTTTGTAAGGGTGGCTTTCAGTGCTCAGCTTGACTTGGACCAAGAAGGATGGGGGTCATGTCTTGCTTGTTATGACATCTACAAGAGCCAACTCCCTGGTTCTGAGAGGCTCTGGGCCAGGACCCCATCTGATACCTCTCCATCTGTCACACTTGGTTGGTGAAAGGGGCCCAGGCTGTGTAAACAGTCTCCATGCCGAATATACTTTCTGACAGGAGAGATGCATAGCGCATACTCTAGAAGGGTAACAGCCCTGGGATTAACCCCTGGGATAAGCTTAATCTTTTTCTCCTATACTGTTTTATCATTTATATCTTCTGTGAATTGTTGCTTAGGCATTAAAGTCTTCTACAAGCTCACTAGCACAGTGCTTGGCTTTCCATCAGTCTTGCCTATAGGAACTCCTGGCTTGATGTAATCTTGCACATATGCCTTCATGTCATCTGGACAGATCCCTTTGTTTGCTTTCCTTTTTTTCTCATCTCCTCCTGAATGAGTTGACCTTATGAATAAAATTGACATGCCCATCTGTTCTAGTTTGCTTTCAATTGTTGTGACAAGACAATCTGACCAATACCAACTTGGGGAAGAAAGTGTTTATTTAACTTACAGCACAGTCCATCATCAAGGGAAGTCAAGGCAGTAACTCAGGGAAGGAACCTGGAGCACAGACTATGGAGGAACGCTGCTATCTGACTTGCTCCCTTAGCCCATGCTCAGCCTGCTTTCTTATATAACACAGGACCACCAGCCCAAGGGTGGCACTGCCAGTGGGCTGGGTCTCCCACATCACTCGACAATCAAGAAAATGCCCCCACAGACATGGCTATAGGCCAGTCCGGGGGAGAAAATTCTTCAGTTGATGTTCCCTCTACCCAGGTGTGTCAAGTTGACAGCTAAAGCTATCTAGCACACCATCTAAATCATTCAGATTTGCTACAATCTCTCCCTCAAAAGATCACACCCCACTATGGGGTTCAGCAAAACCACTAGAGCCCCATATCAGTGTTCTAAGGCCACTGCTGAATTAACTTCTTTCTTAAACTTTTCTGTAAATATGGTCCTAGCCAGCCAGGTAAACCAGGCACCAAACACTGTCTCTCATATGCCCTTTCTTTCAGTAATACTCTCTCCCTTCCCCTATTGTCTTCCAAACCTGATATCTGTGGGAATCTCAGGCAGTGATAACCAGGTGTTCCTAGTGACTTGTATGAGCCAGTCCATCAGGGCCAGATTTCTCTCAAACTGACTTAGGTTGGGCAGGCTGTGTCTCACAGAGGGATGGGTAGTTTCATATTACTCAGCCTCTCTGCTTCCATAGCACTCAGACTGATCCCACCTACCCCAGTATTCAGAAGTCTCATGAGCCAGGCTGTGAGAGGCTCATTCATTCCTTTTTATAAAAAGGCCTTTACCAACTCAAGCAGTTCAGATACAGAGTATTTCCTGATTATCATAGTCCATGGTTCACCATTAAGACACCAACCTGCATGCTGAACCATGGATTTTTCCCTTCCTTTGCATTAAAGGTCAGCTCTGAGGGATAACTTCTACCTCATGTCCTTCACCCTCTCCCTCTTCCCTGTCTGATGATTCCTCATGTGAATTCCAGGTCTCTGGACCCCAGGACAGGCTCTTCTCTTAGGTCTACTTTGTACTCTCCCATGCATACTGTCAGCCAATACCTCCATTTCATCCTCCTTTTTGGTCACTTTTTCTGCCAAATCAGAGGCTAATGTGAAGGATGGCATCAAAATATCTTTCCCCATTGTCTTCCTCCCTTATACAGGTGAGTTCTTTCTGAATAGACAGATCAATTTCAGTTGCATATCTTAGTAACCACAGAGAAGGCCTTACAACTGCTGCCATAGTCTGCTCATGATCCTGTTCTGTGCACACTACTATTTCAAGGATTGCAATGCATTCTTCAGTCCATCAGGCATTTTGGAGGAATCCTCATACTCATGTGGTATCCATCAAGGAGGTTTGTCACCCATCCCATGTAAAGATGGAAAGATGGAAAACCTGGGATTCCCCTTGAGGATACTTCATTCTAAGCTGTCTTGACCTTGAACACAGGGAGCACACAACTGCTGCTACCACAGCGAGGCATGGCATCCCAAACCACATGGAGAAAGGTAGCTGTATTGGAATTGCCCCCCACCCCCGTGGATGCTCCACCCTCAGGCAGATCAGCCTGTTTCAGGTCTCAGCACCCATCAAAGGGCCATGCAACTATTCCCCAACTCATCACTGATTCTGTTCATCCATATTTGGGTGTCAGTTGTATCACGTGACTTTCTGGGAAGATGTGGACAAACATCTATTCATGTTCAATAGGGCACCAATGACAGACCAAATAAAAAGTTACATTCAATTCTAGCGTGGTGAGCCAATGAGTTTAATAGGGTTATTTACAGTAGTATATATGACTCAAAGTCAGCTATATCACCAAAAATCTACCCCAGTGTGGGTGATGACTCATGAAAGGTTGTCCCTGGATGTGCCTGCCCAACTTGGAGACGGCTCCACTGAAGAAAGCTTACTGCTTATAGAACCTCAGGAAGGGGCTTTGTGGTACCTGTAACTTCACCAGCTTCCTGGGTTTTGCAAATTTCATGAACCTCCTGAGTCTGGTATGTTTCCTTAGCTTCCTGAGCCTTTTGAGCTTCCTTCTTCCTTCTAGGAGGGAATGTTTTGATTCAGATGAAATAGCTACTGAACAACACAGGGGGACAAATGAGAATCCATGAACTAAGAGGAAAAAACCAGGAGCTCATTTAGGGACAGTTAAACCTGAAAAGAGACTTGTCCTGTCAGATATCGAGGCACAATGTAGAGCCATAATAGTCAATGCCACACTGGCAGATTGTATAGGTAGAATAAATTAACACTAAAAACAGCCTCACCACAGACCCTTGGTAAGAGTTCAGTGTGTAAATGTGTATGTGTTTGTGTGTGTGTGTGTGAGAGAGAGAGAGAGAGAGAGAGAGATAAAGCATGTGTCATGGCAGTGGTGGGATAAAGATGGAAATTGGGCTTACACTCTAAGCTAAAATATATTCCAAGGTGATTGAGGTGTTAAATGCAAATAAAACATAAAAAGTTAGAAACAGAGACTCAGATACGGTAGTATATACCTGTAGTCCCAGCAACTCAGGAGGCTGAGGCAGGAAGACCACAAGTTTGAGGCCAGCCTGGAGTATATAGTGATACTGTCTGAAAAAAATTAGAAAATATGTCCAGAGTGCTAAATTCTGTTCTTGGAGCACAGTGGTGAAGAACAGTCAGACATGGTCTCAGCCTTTTCAAGGCTTATAAACATACACATAAATGCACACTTAACAACTGTAATGAGAATAGCTCAACAGAACTCAAGGATGGAGTGCGTGGTTACTAAGCACAAAATGGTCTTGGCAGCCAAAAAAAAAACCCGTGACTTTTTTT